ATAATCAAAACAGCCGTTAACACTGTTAAATTAGGCCTATATATAAATCATCAAATAAAGGTAAATACAGTGTTATAATAAAGAACATGATGGTACATCGTGTAGCATAGCTCTCCACGAATGTTTTCCTGTAAATAAATACATTGTGTAATAAAATGCTTCTGACGGGATTCGAACCTGCCACCTCTCTATGTGCACCATCGTTGTGTAATCAGTGGCGTAGCCAGAATATTTCTGTATGGGGCCTAGTGTGATATTATGTGGGGGTGAGAGACAATCTAAACGGGGAACCAAATGCTGGGGGCCAGGGGGCTGCGAAGGACAACATTCGTTGAGAGCTATGTTACACGATGTACCATCATGTCCTTATTATAACACTATAATAACACAAACACACACACACACACACACACACACACACACACATATATATATATATATACATATATATATATACATATATATATATATACATATAACGTAGGCCTATATATTATAATGATAATAAAATAACTATGCAATAGGAACAAGTTATAACAACCATAACCATAATCATAATCAAAAAAATTGTATTATAATCCCAAGTACAATCATTTTCTTCCTACATATTCAGACTACCAATTATGGATGAAAAAGGAAAGATAGTAAAAAAAAAACAAAAAAAAAAAAACAGTTTGACGCATACGGTAGCATAAAAACAAGACTGTAATATTTTCATATTGACGAGACGTGACGAGATAACCTAATTTTCTGACCAGTGTATTGTTATTCGCGCACTTGGCTATGAGCTCATCGACTAGCTTCATGACAACCCATACGTGGAAGACAATGCGGAATCATCGGATGTAGTAGGTTTCCTGAAGGCAGTACCCAAGAGCCTATTACGGATTTTTTTTTTGTTGGATCATGGCGGATGGCAGAGCCGCAGATACCAATATTGGAAGTATGATACATGAATAGGAAATCAATAAAATGACTTTCAAAGATAGCAACAGGAGTGGATGCATACATTCTTGGAAGTCAAAAATTGTAATGATGGATAGGTTGATGCAATACATTTTTATCAAAAGACTATACTTTATATTACCTATGAAAATGTGAACCGCAGTATTACCGAATATTATGAATTTAATCCGAAGATTCAATATCATTTATTATTGAATAAAGTATTCATATTGACACATCCGAGAGTGCCGACAGGACATCATGGGCCGAGATGTCACACACCTCTATATGTCTTCCAAATATTCCTGCCCAAAAGAAACATCATAGCCTACAGACATAAAAAAAAAACCACAAAAATATATACCTTTACTTTGGTCACCCCAGTTTATTACGAGAACCAATGACAATAATATACGAATTTACAGGAATACTGTAATATAATACAACCGAACAAAAAAACATGTTTGCCTGAAGATTTTGTATCTACTTCTAAATACTGCGAACTATATTGTCTTTCTTCTCTGACAAAAGAAGTTGAGAAACGCTTCGATGAATTTTGATTTAAAAATAAATATAGAAAACGACGTGGAGAAAAAGAACTGAAATTAAGCATTTTCTAATATTGTCGTAGATTAAGTATTTACTGAGTAATGTGTAGTTACTTTAAGTTTGTTTACCCTTACTTTATAGTAGGGATGTTGATTGAGTGTACATGCGGCTCTTTGAAAATTGTGACAAGTGAAGCACGTTGTTATGCAATTGTTTTTTCCTTTTCATGTTTTTCGAGGAGCTACTACCTCATATCAGCAGCACTACTACTTGTGTTTTACATCTTAATTTGTTTAACTAAACGCACCAAATGTGCCACCGATCTAAATGTGTATGTATGTTCAAATAAATACAGCATTATTATTACAGAATCGTTTGGATATCCACACGGAAAGACTTTGCTGTACTGTCCAAGAAAGATGAACTGCGGTTCGTTGTGTTGTATTGTGGTATGAGTATCAACTGTTATTTAAAGAACAAGTCTTTATAGCCACATCTTATATTGTTATGGATCCCTAAAAAAAAAACATCGTTGACTATGTTGAAGGCCTAAACATTCAAACATAACGATTTTGAAAATAACACTTTCGATGAAAATCTGACCGGGCTATGTATTCGTTTAATAAAACTGTAATAATAGAATGGATGACAATGTGTTTAAGAAAGAAAAAAAACACACCAAAGCCTCTTAGGCCTACTCTTAGATAGTTGCATAAAGATATAGTATCAAAACAATCTACACAATATACCAGCTACCTGGCACACGTAGGCAGATCGTGTGAGTGCAATAAACAATATTTATTGTTCAAAACACTTTATGCAATTAGAATTTATTTGAATGATATGAAGTAATTGATTGATTTAAGTTGCTATTCATTAATTAATAATGAAACTTCTTTAAACTTTAAAACATTTTGAGTCGACAGGTCAATTGTCTTGCTTGATTGCTTGCACGATTGATTGACTGACACCTCTACCGCCGTGCAACAACACTTTTAGAAGAACTTATCACAACCTGATAGAATTCTAAGGTCTGAAATAACATACTATTGGTATGAACAATGGTTTGAGACGTGACTTACGGCGCACAGTGTCCCTCAGGAGTAGAAAATAATGCACAATAAACCACGGATATCTGTGGTGGGTTATCCAATATTTACATTACGAAGTGTAAAAGTGAGAAATGATTGTTAAGTTGAGTGAAATAATAGACGGATATTATTGTTTTTTTATCCAGGTACTGTAAGTAAATCTCCATGGAAGAAAAAGGTATAAGCGAGCTAAGAAAACACAATACTAACACCAAAAATTATATGCGCAAGACTCTTCCCAATGACATTAAGCCTATCGGTATCCGGTAACAAAGACCCTATAACAAGGAAATAATTTATTCTAATTACAGGTATATAACTTATAAAAATATGTTTAAACTTTATTTGACGAGTGTACTGGTATGCGATTATCTTACTAACTGTAAGCCTAATAGTAATACAGGTAGGACCAGAGCCAGGATTGTTCGCTATGGGGTGGAGTTGAAGGGCTTAGGCTGAAATTTCAGATGGTTTGAGTCAACACACCAAGTCTACACCAAACAAAAAGTCATGACACCCTAGATTCCTCCGGAAATGGAGCTCTCATCTGAAAATGCTCAACGTGTCTTTTATTATTCGAAGTTTGATTTTTACCAAAAATACTTTTCAGCTCCACATTGGTAATTATAACAGGTCTTAATTATCATAACAATATTTCATAATTCAAACATATACAGTACAATACAAAACCAAAGTGAATATACGAGGTATGATCGTTAAACTGTTACAGAAAATAAATGATGCTTAGAATTTACTTATCAGAAGTCGAAATGCTAAAGAGGTATCACCTAATAAAGTATTTAAGTGTTGAATAGAATTTTTCGAACCTTCAGACTTAAAAAATACTACAACTTTCTTGAAATAGAATGAAGCTCTAGCTGTTAAAATTCAGGTCGAATGTTAGATGAATGGTCCTCCTGATAAATATGACGCAGGTGTGGTTGATAAACTATTTGCATAGGATCTCCTAAAGGTGTCTATCACTGTATAGACTACTATTTTACAGTGTTAATAAACATGCGTATTGGCAAAACCAATTGAGTGCCACTGCGGGGAGACTAAATAAACAGGCTCTAATAATCCACCACTTCAGGTTTAGCTTATTTCTGGTAAATTCATGAAGCTACTTTACTTACTTGTCGAGTACAAAATATAGATCAAAACCTCCTTGGCATTTGCTTTTTGTCTGGCTAAGGCAACCTGTAAGCATAAAGGCAGCAATAACAAATAATAACAGTATTTCTTTGCAGACGTCCATCGTTCAACAGCTGAAAATTCGTCTAGAAAATGCAACTACAGTGCCTGCACTGATCGGTATTCGACGTGTAGTGTTAAAGAGATCATCTCAATGTATCAGGATATATTTCGCACATGCGCATTAACGAATTCGGATTTGTCGCGTACAAGTTTTGTATAATCTGACATAGGCCTATAATTTATTTATTGGTAATATGGACGGGAAGTGTCATTCATGACCTTCGAACCACCGAGCTTCCCAAGCTCAATAACCTCGATATAATTGCTTACCAGGTCCGGTCGTTGCTATGTAACGGAGAGAAAGTTCGGAAGCTAAAGTAAACTCCAATTGGGTACAAGCCATCCTTTCGAAGCGAAGACATACTTTTGTGATTCTATCATTTTCTAATAATAGAAACCGAGGCATCCGATAATAGAAAAAATCGTTGATGTATGTTAGATAAGTATTGTATTGTTCATTCCAAGAGAGGAAATAATTTTGATGACAAGTTCAAGGTCTCGATAAAAAGAAAATACAAATTCGGAATGTGAATGGGCATACGATAATACGAAGTTTTGTTTTTATAAATGAGCGCTTATTAATCAGTAGCGGATGTTAGTTCGAAAGATCTTCCGTGTCACAGAACAGTAGGCCTCTCTTAATCTGTAGCCCATATCATAATGTATGTAGCATTCATAGTGAATTCTACACTCTTCATGTCGAACTTTGGAATTGATCAAAACTCCCTAAAATGTACAATTTTTAGAGGAAATCGGCCTACCCCAACAAGAAATGCGAAATTTGATATTTTTAGGCAATTTCAGGAGGTGAAAAGGGCATCTTCAAGGGGTGGGGAAAGATTTTCGACAGATGGATATTTTCCCCTTGTCCAACGGTGGTTACGCCACTGCGGAGAACATCTGGCAGCTTAGATCAAAGGAGCTATGGACACATTTTGAAGTGGAGAAGGGGTTGCAGGGTGTTGTGAGTCTGGTCATTATGATATCTTCCTTTTTATTCTTGTCTTTATTTTTCTCTTCTCTTTTTCTTTTCCTTCTCCCTTTCCTTTTCCCCTTCTTTCTCTTTCCCTCCCTTTCCCTCTTACTTTTCTCTTATTACCCAGCCCATAAAACTTCGGGGAAAGTGGCAGTCAAAATTGCATGCATCATTACACGTCAGAAATCCGTCGTCGTCCTCCTCCTGTTTCGAAACCTTCCTATCAAAAACAACGGTGACGACGAAAGCGACGACAATAACTACTTAGCCTACGAAATAACTTGATAATATCTAGGCCTAATAATATTGCAATATGACCGTATTTAAATACCAAATATAATAATCGCATCTAAAATAAAATTCTATAAAAATGAATATAAATTAATTGAAACTTGCCTAAGGCTATAACAATTTTCTGTAGGCACTATTATTGTCAATCGTATTTTTAAAAAATCATATGCTATAATTGGTGAAATACAAAATGACAATGTGAATTAATGTGACGGAAGTGACAAAAAACACGATAATGTACATAGGCCGCCTACATGCAATATTTTTTCCTATTTTCATATTTTGATTGGAAATTATATGATGGGAATTTTTAAGGACGCATAACCAGTAGGCCATAGATCAAAACTGGTATTTTAAGTGGAAGGATGTTACACTTCGTGTATGACACGTTTGCAAGTTTATAAACAATGATAACCTTACATCGTGAAGGACAAGCATTTTTCTCACCAATATCATACAGTCGTAGGCCTACAGTATAACAATACTACGATTAAACACATTTTTAATAATACTTACGTAAGCATCAATTTTTAAATTGTATTCACAGTGGTTTTTAATAAATATGTACATTTATAATAAAAAATTAATTATAAATTTTTAAATAATTAAATCAATACTTTCGTTAGCGTTTTATTTTTTCATTGCATAATGCCATTCTGATAAGTTTTGACTATTACAAATATGTATTTGGATTTCTAGTATCACATTTGATTGGTCAATCGATGTATTCTTTGTCACTCTTAATATTGTGCATTTTACTTCATTGAATTTATGAGTAAATTTGTTGCAAATAAATAAAGTAAACTGTAAGATATAATAAAAAATTAACAAATATTGTTTATATTATTGGGACAACATTAATAAAAACCTTATACGTAAATTGAGACAATATGGAGATTTGGCAACCTTACGAAAACGATAACGAATACGTCATCTTAAATATCTTCACTTGTGCCTAAAACATTCTTAACAATACATACAGATTGCCGACCTTGTAAAAAGATAATATACTGCCCTTGTTTTCAATAGGAGGCCCGCGGGGAAAATTTGTCCTGCAGAGTAATTCCTGTCTCTTATACACATCTAGATGTGTATTAATTATAGAGCGCATATTGTGGAGACCTCTGTGAGCTTAACATAAACGTGAAAAGAAAAAAAAAACAGACCAAGAATGTGTTCTGAATCGAACCTTACAGACATGCTAATCGTACTCAACGTTATAATCATTCGATGAATAGGCCTACATTGTCAATAAAGTATAGACAAAAAATAACCCTGAGTCATGTGCACTAACAAGTTTACGGGAAAACAGCTTGAAGATGTTTTGAAAAGTATGAGCAAGTTATAAAAGGCCATAAATTGCATATTTCGCCTAGACCCTATATAAGTGCCCCAAGTTTTGTTTCTCTGGTTTGTTATGTTAACTGTGTTTCGTCTAAAGTGTTTGAACTTCATTTTACATTGTTAATAAAAACGTGTTGCACCTAGAACAGTGTCCATAAAAATACAAAGGACACCGCGTACAATGAGGAAACAAGGTAAAATTAAATTCATATTACTGGTATTTTTTTTTTAAATGTGTCTAGACTCTAAACAGGCTTTATTATTGGGATAAATCATATTGTTACTTTTGTTTGCTTTTTGGGCGCACCTTCACAAGAGGAAGTTTGCCAATGTTATAAAAGTGAAAATTCCAAATAAAGTATTATTAATATTATTACTGGTAAAGTGACCCTCTAAAGCTGACTAAAGACTCCTAAACTGATGACACGTCCCCCAGAAATTAATCATCCAGGTAATTTTAGCAAATTGCTTCCAACTCGGCGGAAATTATCTTTGGCCATTGAGATTAAATCTAAAAATGTTTTGGCCCTTCTAACAAATTAATTGAGAACCAAGGATCTACTCTATAGATTGACTAAAATGATGACGAGTCGAATGGCCGAGCGGTTAAGGCAGGGGCTAGAATGAGGCCCAGAGTACACAATTGGCTCATGTACACTTTGGAGAACCCAGTATGTCTTTCGAGACGAGTAGGGGGTTATCTCATACAGCCCCTGTTACCCTGCGCTTACGGACCATTAGATCCTTTGCAGGATGTACCTACGTAAACGTAAATGACGTAACCGTATTCGTTATCGTTTTCGTAAGCTGGCAAAACCTCTATTAAAAATATTTAATCACTTGAAAACATTTACCGTAACGATTGAATTCCTACTTTCAAGAGCAAGGGCCGCCCCCACCCCTTTGGAAAGTAAAAAAAAAAACAAAAGAAAAAAGAAAGAAAAAGAATTAGTTGATCACCCAAAACACCTCAGAGTTTATTTTCGGGCATCTAGAAAACAACAAATTGGCAGGGAAATTGTTGTCTCGATCGGCCCCACTTTCGCCCCACCACCTTTTCGGACATCTCTGGATCCGCCCCTGAAGGGCAGTGGTGGAGCCAGAGGGGTGAGGGCTGAGGGGCTACAGCCTATCATCGGGGCTACAGCCTATCATCGGGGCAACCTAAGCACCCCTCCCCCACCCCAGGAATGACGAGTTTATTCGTATAATTTTACCTGTCTGTTCCTTTAGCAAATACAATATCTATCGTCTTCATTGAACTAAGCCTATTGTGTACTGTTTGTGTTAACATTTCACCACAATAATAACAAAAACAACAACAACAATAACAACAATAATAATAATAATAATAATAGTAATAATAATAATAATAAAAACAACAACAACAATAACAACAATAATAATAATAATAATAATAGTAATAATAATAATAATAATAATAATAATAATAATAATAATAATAATAATAATAATAATAATAATAATAATAATAATAATAACATTAATTCACGTGCCGTTTTGTTGTAAGTTATTCGATTACCGTATTTATTACTTTTCACATTGAATTAAGCCCATGAAACAGATATTCTTCACAGTGAAGTAATTACGTTCTAACATTTATTGGACCGTACGGTAAGGCAGCAGAACAGTGTTTTGACACTATTTTTTTTATTTCAGTGCATATCAATATTATGTACTGAAATAAGAGAAAAGAATACAAATACTCCCCGTCCCCCGTTTGAAAAATTCTGAATCCGCCCCTGCTCAATGTGACTCATTAAAATGATTCACGTTCTAATATGACAAATGCTCGTTTGGATCCTCGTGATGCTTGGATATATTGTGCTCGGGGAAGCAACATCGTGGTTGACAAATTTCAGGAAAAATTCCCGTTTATCGTAGCATAATACACTTTTTTTCCCTTTTTTTTTAAAGAACACATTTCATAAAAACACTGAGGCTGAAATTGCTTAAAAAATTAAGAACAAATTAAGAACAAATTGAGGCTGAGGTAAAACGTTAAATGAGGTTTTTATTTAAAAGGGAATAGAAAAATCAACAAATCTTATCGGTACAATGTATTCCCTCTATAATGAAGTACAGTAATAAACTGCGGTACAACAATATTTTCTATGTTTGAAAAGTGTGTAAACGTAAGAACAAAATAAGAACATTTTGAGCCTGAAATCGGCAAAAAAATAAGGACACGGAGCCTGGGCGAAATTTTGTTGGTTTTATTAAAAAATCTTCGGTTTTGGAGGTTGATTTCGATATTACAAAACATACATGAAATCATTTTAAGATAGTTTGATGCCTATCAAATAACTAATAAAAATTCACCAAAATTCGTGAAATATCCGTGGCTTCCCTAGGCGGCCCCTGTCACCCCCGTCGGGGCTTATATCCCCCTGTCACCCCCCCGTCGGGGCTTATATTCCCCTCCCCCTGTCAAGCAGATCCTGGCACCACCACTGCTGAAGAAACACAGTGCGGTATGTTGCGAATTTGATATATACAATAGGCCTAAAAGAGGCTTGAATATCTTTAGATAT